CTGTATTCCAGAAGATAGCCGATGGAGTAGAGTTAGCAGCGGATAATATATGGATAATCATTGTATGTGCAGCAGTTGTTTTACTATACAACTAAACATTACATATTGTATAAAGTATGAATACCACAGAAAGAGAACTCCAGCCTGGCTTCAGGAGGAGCCGCATGACATCTGTAAAAGGACCAAGAACTAGAAGTGTTGTAACATTTAATCCAACAACTATCAGCCCAGGTGAAGAGCTGTACATTAACATCCCTAAGCTAAAACCTGACTCTTGTTTAGTTCCAGGTTCACTTGCACTATTATTTGACTTCAAAAATTCCAATACAAAAAGCCACTTTAATAATAACCTGTCTAAGTTGATAGCTAAACGTCTTCAGATTAAAGTAGCTGGTGAAACAGCTTATGACTGTTCAGGAGAGAGTTTGTATGAAATTTACAGAGATCTATGGCTAACGCTGGGTGACAGAAAAAAGATGACAGAACAGGGTCTTGCTAGTGAGAATCTCAGGAAGTTAATATCAGGTGATGACTCAGGAGTAAAAGTTGGTGATGCCAATAAAGTAGCAGATGGACTTCTCCACAGTGTGTACGGTTCTAAGCTGAGAAAACCAATTGATAAAATAATTACAGACCATGGACTCTACACTCCATTTTAGATGAACAACAATCCTATGTACATCCTCACACTCCCGCAATCAGATGAAATTATGACTGCTCAAGGAGGTGAAGCTAAGGGTAATTATAAACTGGATAATCTCGAGTTAGAATATGAGACCATTGAGAATGACGCCCTAGCAGGCGAAGTATCAAGGATGTATTCAACAGGCCGCTCACTGTCCTACAAACACGTCACTCTTATGCGTACAAGTAATTGGGACAAGGATCTTACCATTGTCAATGAAAACATAAATATCCCTAGAAAGAGCATGTCAGCGATTGTCCTTCTATTTACCAATAGAGTGAGAACTGATTCTAAAGAATATATTTACCCAAACATTGATAAAGTGAACCTCACCATTGAGGGTGTGCCTAATGCAGTTTTTTCCCAAGGACTTCCCAAAAATAGGTTCTTCGAAGAGGCAAAACGATTCTTTTGTCCTATGTGTGAGAAATCCATGGCAGATGAATTTATGTCCATCAGCAAGTTCTTCAGCACCGGTTTCGCCTTAGTAGTAGATCTAAGGTCAACACAGGATGACACCACTGGAGGAGGTAGAAAGATTGTTAACACACAGTCTGGAGTACTTATGGAAATTAATAAAAAAGCCACAACAGCTGACATTCAGTGCAACATTTTTATTGTATCAGATGCTCTACTTAACTTTGCTAGTAGAGATCTATCAAGTATTCAATACTAGGTACCCTGCGTAGTCGGTACAAACTACGTCAGTAGACGCTGCTAGCGCAGCTAGTACTAACGGTAAAGCATAGAGATGAATCTAGAGCCGCCATTTAATATGCTTATAGTAGGAATGACTGGAAGTGGTAAGACTCAGTTCTTACTTAATATGCTAGAAACGGAATACAATAAAGTTTTCGATTATATTGTTATTATATGTCCAACGATAGAATGGAATATGACTTACATTAACTGGGCTCATACTAGTGACCACGGAGTCATACAAATTCCATGTTCCCAAGAAATGATCAATCTTATTCTAAAGGCAGTGTCCACCATATTCCGCGGAACCCGGACTCTCATTATAGTGGATGATTGTGCTGCAAGTCAAGATGTAAAGAAAAGAGTCTCAGAACTGGTGCGCCTAGCATTCTCCGCAAGACATTACAATATATCTGTCATTGTAATTACCCAACAACTGTCATCAGTAGCAAAACCATTTAGGGAGAACATTTCCAGGTTAGTTACATTCTACAACCCTAGTCGCAGAGATATGAAGGTCATAACAGATGATTACCTAAGTGGTGTCCCTAAGGAGACAATCACAGAGATTACAAAGATACTAAAAGATGAGAAGTTCACCGCATTAGATATACTCCTCATTCACCCTTACACATACACCATCAAACTAAACACCGCGTAATATATAGAAGATGGGATCAGACTCTGAGGAAGAAATATTCGAGGTTGTGAGGGAAGTAGAAGCAGCCGCAAAGGCGCCGCAAAGGAAGGCTAAGTCTACCGCAACAAAAACTAAGCCAACCGCAGATAAGTCGCAAACTGAACATAGAAGGATTATTCCTTCTATGTTCAGTTTGCGACTTATCTGCGGTTGGCTTAGTTTATAAGACCGCAAGTTTCATAAGAAAGTCCAACAAAGATGTTATAGATAGACTTTACAGTGAGTATGAGAGTCAGAGGATGTCATGCGCAAGTGACTTCTTATCAACACTTATTATCTCAAAGTTTGCTTCCATACTAGGAAGTTTTAATGCGGTGGAATCTTCTGAGAAGCTGTCAGAGGAACTACTTAGTGATAAGCTTTTAAAGGATGACGTATGTTATTTAACTAGAATGATATCCCCAACATTCCATTCATTGGTCTCATATCAGGTGGATGCACAACAGCTAAGCACGTGGTTGCTCACAAGTGGAATAAGAAGGGAAAGACTGAGGAAATATCTGAGGAAGCAAAACATATTCTATTACATAGTGAAGAAGAATGTCAGACCACGAGTGGGAGAACGCCTGGGAAGGAACAGAGTTCGAAGATATAATTAACGAATTGATTGAGAAAACCAATAGGAGCATGGAAAAGATAGATAGGATTGGGAAGAAAGTTGACGCAATTGAGAGGGACTTATATGCACTCAGGAATAAGGTTATACTACCTCTCCAGAATGACTTCTACAACTTTAAGGATGACACAGTTAAAACAGTAATAAAGATATACAAGAACCTTCATGGAGTATAGTATTTTATTTGCTAAAGGATGTAAATAGTTATAGTAAGCAGCTGGGTGGGAAGAGGAAATGCTGCTTAATAAAATAGCCATAAAATAGGCCCAACAATTTTTACATATATAGTATAGAGAAAGATGGAAAAACTATTCAGAAACCAAAAGTTGAACGTTAGTGTAAGAATTATCGAAAGCGGTGAGGAGGTACTATTTTACGCAAAAGATGTGGCGGAATCCCTAGGGTACTCAAATACAAAGAAGGCCATTCAGGTTAATGTATGGAAGAAAAATAAGGTAACACTTAGGGAACTTAAGGGTGGGACCCTCAAGGGTCCCACCTTCAATTACCAGCCAAACTGTGTTTTCCTAAGGGAACAGGGTCTGTACCAACTGATATTCAAATCCAGACTTCCAATAGCAGAGGCCTTCCAAGACTGGGTGGTAACGGACGTCCTCCCATCTATCCGTAAAACGGGATCTTATAATTTACCAGATAGAAGGTCACTTAGATATAACCAAATAATCCTTATAAATGAAACGGACCTTCATTACGCAGTTGTGAGTTACATCAGAGATAACTACCCAGAGGCTGTAATATTACCTGGTCTAGGTGAGTATCAGGACACTGTGTCAAAGAGATGTGATGCCTGGAAGAAGGGATATAAAGGTGGTCAACCAGATCTTATCATAGAGAATCCTATGGGGAAGTATAAAGGATTTGCTATTGAATTTAAGTCCCCTAAGGGCACCGGAGTTATAAGTGAGAATCAGGATATATGGTTTAGGAAATTGAGGGGAATAGGGTACATGACAATGGTATCAGATGATCTGGTAAAGACTTGTATTAGAATCAATGAGTACTTCTCACTTAAGAAGACTGTAAGGAAAGTTGTAGTGAAGAATATAGTTAGTGATATAAATACGTATAGACCAAGGTTTGATTCAGGTAAGTACTAATGACACTAGTGTCATTTACGTAGCCTGCGGAGTATTGAGACATCTTACAAACAAATTTAAGTTATCTCACAAGTAATCTCACCAGTAGATTTAAGTTATCTTGCAAGTAAATTTGAGACATCTCACAAGCAAATTCAAGTTATCTCACAAGTATAATTTGAGATGTCTCAAAAGACTAAACCCAGTTAAACCTAAGGTATCTTACAAGTATTATGGAAGATAAACCTGAGCAAATCCAAGCACAAGTAACAAGTGAGAAGAAGAAGGACCCGAAGAGAGTAGCGGCAGGAAAACGATTAGCTGCAATCAGTAAAATAGCAAAGGAGAGGAAAAAGAAATGAGTATGATTACCTAGTATGATTACCAGTATGATTACCTACATAGGAGTGGCCATCGCACTGGTATCTCTAGTGCTAGCATACAAGTCGCATCAGAAGGAAACCAGGGAACAGGAACCCAAACACGTAACTGAGACTGTTGAGATAACCAGGAAAGCTGATGCTTCCAAGTTAGATTCACTTGAATGATTAAACATAATATATATTATAACAAGATGAGTGAAAAATCAAAGATGACGAAGGAAGTGTACAACGCAGTGTTACTTACAGCAGGAGCAGTTGGTATTTCAATGGCATCGAAGAAACTATTAAAAGAACCATTAGGCACCCCAGAGAACGTAAAAGGAATGGCAAAGTTAGCTGTCTCAGTTAGTCTTTCATCTCTACTAGTATCTTACCTGAAAGATAAGAAGTATCTACCAGATGATCCATTCAAAACCTAGGTAAAACTATACAATGGCAGGAGCAGCAGCAACAGCAGCAGGAGGACTATTTAACGCATTTGCATTTGCTGGAGCAGGATACCTATTTAAGATGTTTGATAAGAACGGATATGCTAAGGAAGCCCATAGACATAACATTGCAATGGAGAACCTAACAGCTGAAAGAGAGAAGTACCTTGAAGAAGTCACTGATAGGAGAAACAGACTTGCCCAATTAAGGTTAGAACTAGCTGAGGCAAATAGGGATATTAATGCAACAAATAAATCACTGGAACTCGTTAGAAGAATCAATGAGTTAACACGTACGGCTATGCCGAGGAGGCCGCAGTTAAGCAATCACTACAAACCTAGCTTCGAGATGGAAGAATATATGGCAATCTTCGGTTTAATTATAGGTGGGGTGGTTGGAGGGGCAGCTTACTTAATTCTATAAAAAATACAGCAATTTTCTTTTACATATATAATATAGAGAAATGGATTGGCTTGCAATGGTAGACGTTGACGAAGTGGTGGCCTTGGGAAAAAGGGTGGACACCATAGAAGAACTAGAGGCCGCAGTCAAAAAATATGTGGAATGGCGAATAATAAGGAGACGTAAAAATAAACCACAAAAACAAGCAGAAAATTTTAACACATATAGTATAGGGGATGGAATGGCTGACACTGGTAACACCTGATGAAATGGAACGAGTCGGTAAGAACGCAAACACCATTGAGGAGCTAGAGGCTATAGTAATGAAATACGTGAGAAATAAAATGAAGGTCAAACATACATACGATCCAGTATGTAGTGAATGTGGTAGTAAGTCAATTGTGGTAATAGATGGAGCAGATACATGCACACGTTGCTGAACTAGTGCTATGAACAACTTCACATACTACGTTAGTTACAATCACAACAAGGACGACTACCTGAAAAAGAAATCGTCCCATAATAGGGTCCGTTGGTTTGAGAGACACTTATTCGAGCATGTTGCTTCTGGGGATAGGGATACCATACGGGAGCAGTTCAGAAGCATCGTAAGATGTATACAAAGACTTAGACTGCAACGGGGGCGCAACATAGTTAGATATAAGTTTTACCTACTAAGGTTAGCCAGCATGAACAACATCATGTTGAGAAACCCACCTGAGGACATCAAGACTCAACGAATTGTGAACATCCTTGAGGACAGACTATATGGAAAGGTTTTTCCCGAGTTGGGATGGAAACCCATAAATTGTAAATATTATAATAACTGGAAATTCAGACATAAATAAAATATTAATTATTGGATTAAATAAAATATTAATTATAAAATTAAATAAAATATTAAATTAAATAAAATATTAAATTAAATAAAAATAAATAATTAAATAAAAATAAATAATTAAATACAAAATTAAATAGGCCTTAAAATAGGCCTATTTTTTTTACCTATAGTATATAGAGAAAGAGTGAAAAAATGGCGAGTAACTTTAACATGAACGATATGACTGTTGAACAACTTATGGCGCTTAGTGAGATAATTGATGATAGCGATTATGAGGAAAATCTCGAGGATGAAGTGGAGAAAATATCTGAGGATAAGTTCTATCGAGTTGCACCTAAGGATAAGGGCAAAGATCCCTTTGAAGGAGAAAGACAATTCATAGATGAAGGTGACCGTTCTACTGACCCAAAAAGACCAAGGAGACTCCCACTAAACTACAAGGGTAAGAGGGGAATAATGCCGACATGGAAATATTCCGAGAGACAGAAGGCAAAGGCTTTACTAGTCGAGGAGGCATACCAGAGCTTACTTAGTAGAGGAGTTGAAGGTCTACCACCAACAATGGGAGGTAGATGGAGAACGGATGATCCTCAGGTAAATGCGGAGATGAAGAGGTTAGAGAACCTTAGGAACCCCAAGCGTCCAAGAGGCAGACCACCAAAGGCCAAGGCTGACGGTGCTGTTAAGGCTCCCCGAGGACGACCACAAAAGGTTAAGTCCGACGCTGAGGTTGTGATTCCAAAGAGACGTGGAAGACCACCAAAGGTTAAGTCTGACGCTGGGGTTACGATTCCAAAGAGACGTGGAAGACCACCAAAGGTTAAGGTATCCGAAACACTAAAACCTATGGTTAAAAGACAGACTGTCGCGGAGAGGTTCATAAGTCAAAACCGAATAAAACTCTCGGTTCCCGCGGATAGCGTAATAACTCAGGTGGGACCAAGTAAGTTCACGGTGACTGTGGATCTTAGTAAGAAACCAACAAGGAAAGCTCCTGAGGTACCGAAGGGTGTGGCTCCATGGAAACCTATTCCTAAACCAAGAACTGCGATCCCTAAGGAAAAACCTGTTCCTAAACCTAGAACTGTAATTCCTAGGGAAAGACCAGTTCCTAAACCAAGGACAAAAAAGCCAGTGCCTCCTCCAAAGTTAAGAAAGCCTGTGAAGGTAACTAAGGAAGTTGGGGAACAGCCAGTAGTGGTCGCACCAGAGGAACATGAAATTGATCCTTTTGGAACATACCTTGAGAAGCCATCCTATAGGAAAATAGAAACTGCCGCAAATGGTGCAGCTGTGACTTACTCTATAACTCCAAATTATATGGATCCCCTGGACCAGATGACCGCAAGTAGGCAGGTGGTGAGGGGAGTATTAGTGAACGAGTTGAAGAGAATGGGAGGGCTGAAATATACGGAAACCATCAAGCTAAGAATGTCGAAGGAAATTGGAAATGACAAAACAAAGAAGGATTCAATATACTTCAAGTCAAAAACAGGAACCGCAACCAACTTCGAGGATATCGAAAGCACTGCAGCCCAAAACCAACTGACAATCTTATCCAGAATTGAAACCTTCCAGAACTTAGGTTCAAATTGGATTATCCTAAACATTGAAAGTCACTACGTTAATATTGCGATGTACAAACCTCTAAAGGGTAGTTCATATATGAAATTACCCGCAGACATTAGCAATCCAAAATGTGGTTTAATTAACATGAAAAACAACGACGAGAAATGTTTTATGTGGAGTCATGTGAGACATGTAAGACCAAAGGCTAGGAGAGCAACCACCATAACACGACAGGACATAGAGTTCGCGGAAAACCTAGATTATGAGGAAATAGACTTCCCCGTGAAAATAAGCGATATTGATAAAATTGAGAGGAAGAACTCAATAAGCATATCAGTGTTTGGTTATAAGGGTAAGAAGCAGTTCTATCCAATTAGAAACTCCAAAACAAAATATGACGAGCATATGGAGCTGCTGCTGTTAGGTGACAATGAAGGTGGTAACCATTACGTTCTAATAAAGGATGTAAATAGAATGCTCTTCAGTGTTAGCGGAAACTCGAACAAGAAACACTTCTGTTTACATTGCCTCCATAGTTGCGTCAGCGAAGAATCATTGAAGAAACATAGTGAAACGTGTATTGAGGTAAATGGAACCCAGGCCACAAAGCTTCCAAGTGAGGGTACAAAAATAAAGTTCAAAAATCATAGGAACTCAATGCCCGCACCCTTTGTGATCTATGCTGACTTTGAGTCTATGCTAGTTCCTGAGGAGAGAAAAGTTGACTCTGAAGACACCGAGGACAAAAGTACTACAGAACTTTACCAAACACATAAAGCCTGTAGTTTCGGGTTGAAAACAGTGTGCCACTACGATGATCAGTACTCTGGTGAATATGTAAGTTACGTTGGTAAAGACGCTACAGAAGTCTTTCTGAAGACAGTTCTGAAGGAATCCATCAAGTGCCGGGAAATGGTAAATAAAATCTTCAAGAAAAAGATGGTAATTACACCAGAGCAAGAAACTGAGTTCTGGATGACAAGAAACTGTTCCATATGTGGTAATGACCTGGGTGATGACAGAGTGAGAGACCACGATCATGTAACTGGACTGTATCGTGGAGCTGCTCATAATATGTGTAACCTAAAGTACAGAATCACATGGAAGGTTCCAGTGGTCTTCCACAATCTAAGAGGTTACGATAGCCATCTAATAATGCAGGAGATTGGTAAGTTTAAGATGAACATCAACGTGGTCCCAAATAACATGGAAAAATACATTTCCTTCTCACTAGGTAAAAGTCTTGTGTTCATTGACTCAATACAATTTATGGCTTCTTCCCTGGAGGCGCTTGTGAGTAACCTTTCACCTGAAGACTTCAAGATAGTCGGCCAGCGGTGGCAAGGCGAGGACTTCAATCTTGTAAGACAAAAAGGTATATTTCCTTATAAATACCTGGACGACATAAGCAAGCTTGACACTGAGGGACTTCCAAGCAAAGACAAATTCTACTCATCTCTATACGAGTCTGAAGTGAAAGAAGAAGATTACCAGAGAGCTCTAAAAGTCTGGGATCACTTCAAGATGAAAACAATGAGAGACTACCACGATCTCTACCTGGAGACTGACGTTCTTCTTCTAGCAGATGTTTTCGAGAATTTCAGGAAGACCTGCTTGGAAAATTACAAGCTTGACCCTGCTCACTACATCTCAGCACCAAGTCTAAGTTGGGACGCATTCCTAAAACAGTCAGGTGAGGAAATAGAATTGGTAAGCGATATGGATATGTTCCAGTTCTTTGAGAAGGGAATGAGAGGTGGGATAAGTCACATTGCTCACAGACACTCTACAGCAAATAATAAGTACATGGAAACGTACGATGAAGAGGCTGAAAACAAGTTCCTTATGTACCTCGACGCCAACAATTTATATGGCTGGGCAATGTCTCAACCTCTACCAAATGGAGAGTTTAAGTGGGTTGAGGAATTTGACGGTATGAACCTTGATGACTACCTTGGAGACAGTGGAAGGAGTATGGTCCTTGAGGTTGATATGGAATATCCAGAAGAACTTCACGACTTACATAATGGTTATCCACTAGCTCCAGAAAGTAAGGAGATTAATGCCTCAATGTTGTCAGACTACGCGAAGGATATTGCTGATAAATTACAGCTGACAATTGGAGGAGTAAGAAAACTGGTGAACTCCCTAGGTCCCAGGAAGAACTACGTCCTACATACCCGTAATCTGAAACTATATACTGAACTCGGAATGAAACTTACGAAGGTTCACAGAGCCGTCTCATTCAAGCAGTCAACTTGGCTGAAAAACTATATTGACTTCAATACTCAAAAACGGTCAGTAGCTAAAAATGCATTTGAGAAAAACTTCTTCAAACTTATGAACAATTCCATCTACGGAAAGACTATGGAAAATTTGAGGAAGAGAGTTGATGTAAAATTAGTGTCATCGGAAAACGACCTCCTTAAACTTACAGCGTCTCCGTGCTTCCAGTCACATAGGATTATGAATGAGAACTTAATCGTGGTGAAAAGAATGAAGGAAGTGCTAACTCTGAATAAACCGTGCTATGTGGGAATGAGCATCCTGGACTTGTCTAAGACTCTGATGTACGACTTCCATTACAACACGATCAAAAAGGAGCACGGTGACAAGTCGAAGCTTCTATTCACAGACACTGATAGTCTAATGTATGAGATCAAGACTGATGACGTGTACGAGGACTTCAAGAGGATCGGTGAAGAGAAGGACTGCTGGGACAACTCAGATTATCCGAAAGATTCTCCATATTACTCAGCTCATAATAAGAAGGTAATTGGAAAGTTTAAGGATGAAGCCGAAGGAGTACCAGTGATTGAATTCGTAGGGTTAAGGTCAAAGATGTACTCCTACGT